ATATATATATATATATATATATACATACATATATATATATATATATATACATACGTATATGTATATACATATATATATATATAATTTGTGTATATGTATACATAACATCTGACAGTTTTCTCGTCTCATTGATTGTAATTTGATTTGATTCAAAGTTTTCCCAAGCACTAGTTTTAAATTCTAATGTATTTAAAACAATATAGATAATTCTAGGACTCTCTGTGTTGCCAATTCATGTCAGTGGGTTGACTGGGGTCCAGAAGGATTTAGCTTATGGTTAGCTACCGATGCGGGACTGCACATATTGCCTATTGCTCATTCTGCGAATTCAAGTGGCGTCGTGAGTTTTTTTTAGATTTTTCGGGCGGTATATATTAAGGGACGGTTCAAATTCCAGTTGCTTAATTAAGTCTTCCAGTTCGGATTATTGTTAACGGGTTTCTTTTCATTAATTTAAGCTATTGCTGGCATATTAGTTGTTTAGCTCAAGCTATAACTAATTTATGGATTAAATCTGCGTATTATAAAAACATCAAGGGTTTATGGTTTAATTGCAGGAAAGTACGGATAAGATTATCTTTCTTTCAAGCAGTCATATTTATCTGAGTGCTGCAAAAGAGCGAGAGCAAAGTGTTAACGCTCCCCAGAGCATCTGGCATGTACTTTCGGTTCCGAATAACTATTTATCGTTCAACTGGCCCATTAGAGTTAGTAATTATATCTTGTATAATCCACTTCTTAAGAAGGTCAATTTATAGTAACTAGCTTATTCGGCGATGTGGTTAACGGTTAACGCAAACATGGATCCAAACTATAAGTAGAGAGCTTCTTTCCCTGAGTTTTGTTTTCCTTTAGTTTGAATAAAACAGTTCATTTGAAGGTATTTTTACATTGAAGTCAAAATTCTTATTATTATAAGGGTTTAAGTCAAAATTCTTATTATTATAAGGGTTTAGTTAGTTGAAATGGATGATCATGGGCAATGGCTTGTTGTTGCGGGTGCTCGAGGTTTCATCCATTATAATTTAATGACACGTAAATGGCGCATGTTCGGCAATGAATCACAGGTAGAGTTCTAACTAAAATTCTGTATTTTACATTTTTTAAGAAATTCAGTTCAACCACTGTATTATTCTTCTATCTCATGTCATTGTTCACTGTCGATTAAGGAAATTAATTCATGTATCACCCATGATCTAAATGAAAACCCATAAGAGAGATTATGGGTAAAGGCAAAGTAATACTAAAAGATTATTAGCTTGGTACAAATATTTCAGGGAGTTAATGAGTGAATAGAACTGGTAAACCAGTAATTTTTCAAACTAGTTGGCTTAAATCACCATGCTTCTTTATTATCTTTTTTTGCATCACATGAGCAATTTAGATTGAAGAGAAAAAAAAATGGATTTATGCTATGCAAAATTTAGGAAAGGGATATGCTGGTCACCGGTGGGATGACTGTTTGGGGAGGATACGTTGTGATTGCTTGTTACGATATTGATCGTTCTAAGGAAGAATTACGGTTTTACCCATTGGAAAATCAGTTAAACAATCAGTTTTGCATAAGGCATCCAGTTAATTCAAGAATCCTTCTTTTAAGTCGTCGGTAGGTAACAGTACTTGTCTAAACTTTACTTATTTGTTTGGTCAAGAAAGGCTTATTAGTTAAAGAAGAGGTCAGGAAAAATTTATTAGTCAAAAGTAGTGTTATTTATCATAAACTACCATTGCTAAAAGTTCTGGAAGTTTTTTGAGTCATGTTTGATGGCTTATATTTGACCGATTAGTGGTATTGTTTATATCTTGCAGGCGAAACAAACTGATAACTTTCGATGTGGATTCATGCATATTTATTTTCGCTCTTTTTCTCGAAAAGAATCCCAAGAATGAGCAGTTAGTAATTCGAATAGACAGGTACTCGTTGAGAAAACAGTGGTTATATTTGTTTGTTCATTGAGTCGGAAGGAAGAAGTAGCAGACGATGTCTTTTGATGAATTTCAAGTTCTAATAGGGTTAAGCACTGCTTGATGATGTATTGTGATCGTAGTACTTGACATATTTTCTGCCATTAAAAACTCAGTTTCATATATTTTGACTGAAGGGTTTTGTATAATCAGCGATGGGATGGGTAGTAAAGAGAAGTTTCTTCAAAAAAGTCTGTAGCCAATTGCAATAAAAAGTCGAATTTTAGTAAGTAAATTCTAGATGTGCAGAAATACGTGTTCAAGATATAGTGCCGCATGCAGCTTGTGTTCTGTCTGTGGAACCAGCATCTTTAAATTATGAGTCCCGTTAGTTTCTGGTTATTACTGCAAGCGTTACTTTTATAATTATTTTTGATGGAGATTTTCCATTTATCTTGTTCTAATAATTCGCAATTGAAAATTCTCATGAAATAATTTTTAGGTTAGCTAGATTTTTCTCGTTGATATACCAAGAATCATTACAGAAATAAAATTTTGTGACGGTGTAGACACGGTTTTCATGAATGTTTGCGGGAGACTGATAATGTTCAATCCTGTAAAACCAGATAGTATCGCCGGTGATTCATCAGATGATGATGGAACCTCTTTCCAGGTTCCTAGTTTTGTTTTGAAGTAATCTGTATTTTTGATTCTCCGAAACTTTATTTCTGTAGCTATATTTACTTTTTTCCCGAATTGTTGGAAATTTTTTAAAATCAGCTCTTCAAGTTAAGTTTTTTAAACCTCTGCTTTAAAAATCCCTTTGTTTCTTGTATCTGAGGTTTTACTTCAAATGCTTTGTGAAAACTTGATACCAGCTGAGCATTTTTCAACAATCTTTAGTCGTTTTTTAGGATAAAAACAAGTGATCAGAACACTCTCTTGTTCTGCGTTAGTTTCTGGGTTTATCTTCCAAATGGAGAGTCTGTATTCTCATTGGGCAAACTTCATTTGTTCTGTCAGCATCGAAATTACTTGCTTTATATTCAGTTAAGTCGACCTATGCTAATTGCATCATACGTGGAACAAATTTGGCATGACGCTACTGATGAAACCGATAATATTTTTGATCACAAGCCACATCTAACACATGCATTATGGCTGAATTGTGGAGCTGAAGGAATGAAAGTTCGTTAACATTTTACACTTTTTTGTTTCACATAAAATTTATGATTTTTATTATCACTAATAAAGTCCGACCATCTTCACTTTGGATTATTGTTCGAATTAAGGTTTGGTTACCGTTATTCACTGCTCGAGAGACCAGTGATACCAAGTACAGTTCATGCCACTCATTTATCAGTAAACGTATTATGTTACCTTTCGAATTGGGTATCGCTCCACTTGGTCTGTCATTTCACTTCATTTTTCCGAATGATGCAAAAATTTTTATCATAAGTTTCTTTTTGAGGAAATTTCTTAAGATATTTTCCCAGATACTTTTATCTTTTATTTCTCCATATAACTTCAAGAACATACTGAAAGCCAAATTTGTTGAGGTGATAATTAAATGAATTAGAACCCTATTTTGGTATTACATAAAATCCTGTTTTTAGTTATATGCAGCCGAGATTGCTTAGCAGTTGGTGTGGAAAGTTATCCAACATATTCGGATGAAAAGGAATTGACAAGGCATTTACCAATATATAATTTGCATCGTAAAAGTGAGGCAAGTTAATGCCATGAAATGAATATAATAAAATCTTTGGGTTACAGTTTTGGTTTTGATGGTTCAGGAGATGTGAAAACAGGGAACGTATCCGTCTAGGCGAGTGTCACTTTAGTATTCCTTAACTTTATTTTAAATCACTGACAATTTCTGAGTAATATATTTACCCTTGAGGAGTAATCAGCACAGTTCTTTCACTCTAAGTCATACAAAAAGTTTTAATGGAAACTAAAGTTCCAAATGATCCTCTTTGGTTTGGAATGTAATTTTTCAGGTTTTCCTACATCATCTATTGCGACAACTTTTGAAACGAAATCTCGGTGTGTATGCACTAGAGATTGCTGCCACCTGCAATCGGTTGCCGTACTTCGGCCACGTGTTGGAACTGTTACTGCATAATGTGCTAGAAGAAGAAGCGACTTCTTCAGAACCAATACCAGGTTCTTACGTTTTGTGAAACTAAAATCGTTTCAAAATTCAAGTGAAATTTATATTCCTTATAAAAGTTGATTTGTGATTTCTATTTTAAAGTATTATAGTATATTTTGGAGTAAATAATGTTATATTTATGAAATGTTATTCTTTATCAGTCCATTTCGACTGTTTTTGATAATTTTCTTTAGTGGGTAATATGTCATCTAGCAATCGAGCCCTCTGTTATAAAAAAAAATACTTGTGTAACAAGTATCAGCAAAGTAAATGTATATATTTTTTACAGATCCACTGTTGCCTCGTGTGGTAGCTTTCATTCAAGAATTTCCAAATTATTTGCAAACGATCGCTCATTGTGCTCGGAAAACTGAACTAGCTCTTTGGCCTGCTCTATTCACTGTAACGGGTCATCCACGTGAACTTTTCGAAAAATGCATCAGTGACGGGCAACTTGAGACTGCAGTCAGCTTTCTCATCATTCTGCAAAACATGGAAAGCAGTTCAGCCAGTCAGGAGGTTTGTTACTGACGAATCTTAAGGGTTACTTTCCTCTCTCACATTCTCAAGTGTTCAATTGATAAGCTTATAGTCGATAAATTATTGTTTGAGGATAAATCTACTACAAACGCAAAGTTTCAGTGAAATGAATTTGCACTCCATCCTTCCAGTAGGTTCAAGTAAGAGTAGTTCATTGTCTACGATGCGATGCCTTTAAGGTTGATGTTCAGATAAAATAAAGGCACTTTATCCGTTAACTACCTTCAAATTGATAGTATTGTAGGGAAAGACCAAAGAATTACTTTGTAACATTGCTGTTTTAAAGCATGCAACAGTACTGCTGGAAGAAGCCCTTTCGAAACGGCAATGGTTAACAGCACGCGATATTGTTCGATTTCTTCGTGCTATCGACCCATCCGATATTGATGATCCACCGCGAACACCACCGTATCAAAAACCACACCGCAACGTAGGCAATGTAGTATCACGGATTCCTACCTGCATGTCTACAGATGACAGTGAAGAAACGGATTCATTTGTTTTTGGAAGCTACACCGGGCCAGGTAAGGTCTTGTGACATAAATTTGTCGAAGTTGCTGGTTTGGAGAATTTCCCATAAGCTTCAAATTGCATTTGAAAACAACAAATGCTTTACAAGTAATTATGTGACAATATAATATTTCCCAGCAAGTTTTTTTTTTTTTAAAAAAAAAAGTAGTCAACTGGTCGGTCGAACTTCCATAAGCATAAATACAAAGTAAATAAAATTAATCACTTTAAAGGTATGATAAAAAGACCGCGGCCATCACAACAGGATAGTGGATGCAGCAGCCCGTCAGGGCGGAAAGAATCAACTGGAAAGAAAATCTTGAAAAAAGTTTCTTTTGATGCACCTATAAGTCCAGGAAGTGCCAACGGTTCAATGTCGACTTATCTTGATGATGTGTTAGATCAGCATGCTGTTCATTTGCTGGAAGACTGCAGTATTCAGGATTTAGGTCACCATCTTTTTTTTACAAGGGAATAAGAAATAACTGCGTTTGGAGCTGGTCTTTGATAGCAGAACGACTTTTTGTTGTAATTTCTCATTATCCTTCAATATCTTCCTGGTCTTGGATTATATTAAGATTATATTAAACAAATTTGTTTGAAAACAGCGCTATTTTGAGCAGCATTAAACAGTCACAATTAATTTTTTCATTCCAGGTGCTTTCGCCGCCTATCTGGATTTTAATTTAGTAAGTTGGCTTCGAATACAGCGGCACACTATAGCACGGATTAGTGATTTTCCATTAGCTTTGATGCGACTGCATGCACAGTTCAAATGGCCTTATCCATTGGTCAGTCAAAGTATTGTAGAACAGTTAACAAAGCGAATTGAAGGTATTAAAATTTCGCCAAGTACTGCATCGCTGGATAGCTTACAGTGTAAGTTTAGTTATTTTTGACAATTTTGAAAAATTCATATTGTTTCGAGGTGAGAAGCTTAAAGCTATAAATATTGCCGATGTTTGAGCAGCGGAAGTTCTAAAGAGAATGATTGCTTTTTTAATCCAGTGTATTTTGTCAAGTACTAAGTGTTAAGGGCTGTTCACTGTTATTAGCGAACAATTTTGGATTCAGTTGTTCGAATTGTATCTCATATAACTTTGCTTTTTTAGCACTATCAACAGCCAATAGTAATGCTTCGTTAAGTACTGGGGAAAAGCAACGAAACACATCAGTCATTTCTGCATGTTCAAACTCAGTATGCGTCGATGATGGAGAAGGTATTACTGTATATATCATCAGATATGACGTCATTTTCCTGATTTACTGACTTAATTGGATAAATTGATTTGAGTTGGGATTTCAAAAGATTTTTTGGATGTTAATTTTAGTATTTGTTACAGGTAGAAAGGATCTACCTGCACTGTATAGCCAGTCCATGTTAAGTACGGTTTCCGCAGAAAGTCATTCAAACTCCTGCAGCGATTGGGAAGGTTACTTTGGTTTTCTTGAACTTTTGAAAACAAAAGAAATGCGAGAAAGACAGTAATAAAATTTACTTTATGCGTAAAGCAAGCATGCAAGAGATTTTTCAGATTTTTTATGTAATCACTAATTTATAACAGTATAAAATATATGAATGTTATTATCACGTATAGACATATCTGGTTGTAGGTTTTGAAAAAATATGTGGTGAAATTGCTGCACGCGGATCACAAGAAAGTGAGTTAGAATTGAAGTACATGTTGGATATTATGTACGAAGCTGGCTGCGTTAGCTGGACATTATTGGTATGGAATTTTCACTCAGCTGATATTTATTTTTCCACATGTTCATAAGTCTTCCTCATAGAGATTGAGGTTCAACCATATTCGGTGTTTAATTTTTTGTCATTATAATAGCACTGTACTGAATACTTGGCTATGATATAGGACGTAAGGCGAGCAATTATGGGGTAGATTTTTTTAAAGTAACCAATTTGTTTTTATCAAAACTCCTAAATTTTGAACAGATATTCCATCATAGTATTTGAATAACCGATTTAACACCATTAACTCAAACTAATTCCATTTCCAAAGGGATTAATGAAATATATTTGATACTTACCTTTTCTTTCATTTGATAATCTGACACAAGCAGTTTCGAATAAACAATAAACATAATAGATGAACTGAAACCAGCCGTTTTGGAATTATAAGTGTATTTGAATCAGGATGAATTTCTAACTCTTTTTTCAGTTATGTTTGTTACGACGTGATGTATCATTCCTTAGTAAGCATTTCTCGCATAAATTTGTACAAAGCTGTGGCCCAGATATTGTGAATGAATTACATACAGGATTGGAGCAATTGCAGAATTGGGCCTCAATTAATTGGTAGAATTTTATATACTTGAATTTCATTTGAGGAAATGGGTTAGAGCAAACATTGTCTAGTTATTCCTCCAACTTTAAATATAAGGGATTTACATTTCTGGGTTTACATTGAGCTAGATGGTTTTTTAGAGCACATTTGAGTAGAACAATAAAACGATAATAGAAAATATTTTCAGTTTCGGATATCGAGCTCTAATCGATGCATACAAGAGGCATCTCTTGGTAATTGGAGATAGAAGTGGGGAGCGTGTAGTTACCAAGGCATCATCTGTTGCACCGGGTTATTGCAGCAACAGTTTGGTATCAACGATTAGTTCACATGTGGGGATGAATGGAATTTCCGTATTAGAAGGCGAAATAGTGCCGGTTACGAAGCAAAAATTATCGCCCACATTAGGTGCCTTTTTTTTCTAACTTTAGGGTTATTGAATCCCTTCAGTATTATGAAATGACAAGTTCTGTATCAGCTAGTAGCTCTTAGAATTTCGCAATTACTTAATTAACAAAAACCTGTCATCGTCATCCGTCTTATCATGAATTTTCAACTATTTTGCGTTTATCTAACTGAAGGTGAAATCGAGAGCTTTCTGTTAAACTTGTGTGGACGTAAGTATAACTTATGGCAAATAATGTGAGGAATTAAGATACGTTTTACGTTTCCAATACGCGCATTTCTTTTGTTTTCGATGACGGAAATTCATTCCCTTCCAGTGTGCTCTTCTATATCAGACGTTCATGCAGAACGAAACGGCATTGTACGAAAAGTTGTTTCCATGCCAATTCAGCAATTACCAACAGCGGCAGCAATGAATTTAGTAAAGACAACGTTTACTCCACCACGAGAAAACGGCGAAATTGGTGATAGTTATGTTGATACAGATAACTGTTCGGTGGTAAGTGATGCGACCATTGTTGGGCGTGAACAGTGTAATTTGATGTAACCTGATATTTATTTTCTTTATGCTTGAACCATTCATTTTTCAGAAAGTGCTGCATTTTTACAAGTTACTTTTATAGCACTTTAAACTGTTTTGTGTACTGCCAATTCTTTTTGTTATGTAGAAAAGTTATAAAGTTTTTCCTTTTCCGCTTAGGAACGATTTACTGAGAAAATGATATAGGTAAATACTCGAAGTGATGTGCTGCAATTTATCCTGATTGTGAATTTCATATAAACAGCGTCCCCGCAAGATTTTTGAAGATTCTAAGCTGTTCAAGAAATTGAAATTTTTGATCAGTTTTGGATGAAGAATTTATCAAATTATCAGTAATCGGCAACCTTCCTAACCTATCTGTGATATTATGATTCACAAAGAATTTTTGTTTTGCATTTTTGGAACTGATCGAGCTGCCGGAATTTTTGGTATGAAGTATATGCAGAACAATAACTCATTAGTGTTCCTCCATTTTTTTATTATTAAATTGAACTTTATAATTTATTCTGGATACATGATTTGCCAGTCTGTATCACTTGTTGTAATCGTTGAGTATTTTTTACACTTTTTATTCTTGTATGGTGTTTCGTATGGTTTTCATTTTTTTTTTATCAGCTGATTTGTTAAATTCGGTTGTGTTTAACTCTTTCTATTTTTGAACGTTGTGATGGGCGTACAGGTACGCTTGGTGCCTTAATTATTCACGCATCATTCATCTTTTATTCCTTTTTTTTTAACTTTACCAAACAATCAGCCTCAACGGATAGCTTAAGATATGTAAATATTACATATTGCACGTGTTACTTAAAGCTGACTTATGTGATTTTTCTTGTATTCTGAATCTACTTGATCGTACAAAAAAAAGAAAAGAAAAATAGAAGAAAGTCTATTCTTATATTACTTTCAGTTGTCACCTCAGAAATTTGATTAACAGAAAGAAACAAAGCACTACTTCTAACTAAATTTTAAAGCGTATAATTAGGTCTCATTTTCAATTACATATCGAGATTTTCGGAGTTATCTGTACCTTGCTGTTTTTGATAATAATATGCATCACATATTCATGGGCAAGATTTTCCTCAGCTTAGGTATTATTATATTCATATCAAGTCCTAAAAAATTTTTCAAGCATGTCAAATCCGAAAATGGTCTTGCAATGTTTCCTTTTCATCACTTAGATTACTGAAGTGTTGGAAAAATTTGAAACCCATTAATCAGCTTGTTTTAATTAAAGCAAATACGCTTGTTTTTGGGACTTTGGTTTTCTTTAGTCTTTTTTCGGATGGTTCTTTTGAACATTCATCTGATTCAGTTTTCAATTCATGCGATTGAACATGGAGAAATTTAGCAAATTTCTGTTGGGATAGCACTATCTCTTTCCTATTATATCTTTTGTTTTATTCGTTATTTCATGCCATCAAAATATATTTATCTGTGATAAAACTTACTGTATGGTCTAAAACATTTATGTTAATTATTACTTTTAAAGAATTCAAATTCTTCAATTCCATAAAATTTGGTTTCTTCACTTGAGTATTTCTCTGACTGTAATTTTGGATTCTCCGCAACATTGGGATCCTTTTTGTGCTAGAAATTTGAATAAACAAAATGAAAGAACACTTTATTCTTCTTCGCTGAGAAAATTAGTTTTTTTTTGTTGTTGTAGTTTGATTTTCTTTTTCTTATGTGGGATTGGTTCCTTGTTATTACTAAAAAGCTTGCGGAAAACGAAACATAAAGAGTTTTCATGACCTAGTAAAGGAGCAGTTATAATCTAGTAAGAAATGTATGCTAAATTTTTTAAAATGATGAATTCTCGATGGATGAAGTAAACAACAACAAAATTGGAATACTTTGCATGAATGATAGGATAAAATGACTTTTTTGCTCTTATCATAGCATTTTAATCATCATTTATTAGCTGTAAGCCATCAAATCAGTGAGGTTTAGAGTATTTTAGAGAAAAGTATTTTAGAGTATTTTAGAGAAATATTTTAGAGAAAAAAGAGAAAATTTTAGAGAAATTTGATGTTACATGATCACATAATAATTTATTAGCTGAAATGGGAGCATGAAATAATCAGGAAAAACTATAATGTTTACCTTTCTTGGTAGCCTTTTATTGCAGTTATTCAGAGATTTGAATACTCTTGACTTTTAGTCCTTTTTATTTTATTTAAATGCTCTTTGATGAGCAATATCGCATATTTGTCCCTAAATTTCATTTACCATCATCTACGAGTTATGATTTAGCTTAAAACGGTATGAAAACGAAAATTTAATAAACTATTGAATTTGATTTTCCTATTGCTCTAAAGTAATCCATTAATTTTAGTTGATAGCAAATAATATCTAAATGAATATTTAATGTTGCTTATAAATTAGCATTAACTTTCTGTTCAAAAAACATTACGTTAAAAATATTCAAAAGCATATCATTTAAAATATTCAAAAATTTTGCAATGAATCTGATCAAAATTTGGACAATTGATGAAATTTAAAAAAAGGAAAAAAAAACCATTGTATGAATATATCATTTTGGCAATCGGTAGGAACCGACTGAGAGTTGCCAAACATTATCAGAATATATTATCGATAATTATGTAAACATTTTTTTTTTTTTTGCCAACCAATTCTGTTAAAGTAGTTAAACAAACTAGAGAATATATTTTATAAAAGCTAGATTTCCATGAATCATCAAGCTATTTTAATTTATTCATTTCAATTTATCTGAATAATGAACATTTGTTACCATATTTTACAATATATCATCATTTATGCATCATCTCTAAGATTACTAATCTTATCAGAAGTAATTTGCAAAAAAAAAAAAGCCTGCTATATTCATGTGAAAAGTAAAAACCATATTTATTGATCTTTATTAATAATGCGGAAAATTGTATAACCTAAGTTAGGCTTTAAAATGAAAAGATGCTGACCTTTCTTAATAATGTGGAAAATTGTATGACCTAAATTAGGCTTTGAAATGAAAAGATGTTGACCTTTCTTAATAATGTGGAAAAAGATAAAAGGTGAGGAACGTACAAATCCGTTTTGTATCATTCACTTAATAAATGGAAGAGGTGAAATATGTGACAAAGGTTATGTGAATCGAATTATAAGATTTAAAGTTGACATATGTTCTAAATAATTGATAATATTAATTGATAGTGAGTCGAGATTTTAGTCGATTGATAATTCAACCATTTTAAAGTTATGAAATAATAATTGAAATGCTAATATTACTATTATTACATGATAAGTGTTGGGGATAAAAATATGTATCCTATCATATTTACAGATTTTTTTTTTTTAGTGTAACAAAAAAATGGAATTTATTGCTATAATTGTTCTCTCACTTCTACATTTTAGTCCAGGTAATTCAGGTAATTTCGTCCGATTACCATTACTTTAATTCAACTGAAATGTATCAATTTATTTAAATCGATTTAATTAAAGAATATAAGATACCAATGCTAAACTATAAAGTATTGTCAGTGCTATATTGTTATGATCATATTTAGGGAAATGATTAACTTAAATTACTGCTAAAAGAATGAATATTTATAATATGCAAAAATAGCAAATTAAAATGTTAGCTAATTAACTAACAAATTAGCTTAGTTTATTTCATATATAACAAATAATAAATGTTGAAATTAAATAAAAGAAAAATAGCAATGATTTGAAATTCAGTTACTGCTAACAATAATATATCACAAGAAGATTTATCAACGAGATGTTTGAGGGAAGAAATTAATCTAACACAAGTGTATTTTTCATTTGGTTTTATGAATTCATTTTATAATTTTGTTCAAAAGATATGCCATCATATGCAATCAACAATGAACGATTGTTATCAAAAGGTTATCCAAAAATTTATCATCCAATCATTCGTCTTCTGTTACTAGAATTATTAAATAGTTACACAATAAATTAATCAGATAGCTTTCTTAGATCATTATTGATAAATTAGCAGTATTGACTGATAAATGAAATAGTACGGTATTCATCGGATTAATTGAGAAATTTGAAATTTTGAAATGAATTGAGAGATTTATGTTTGCAGAAATTAGTGGGTATAATATTATCATCAAATAATTATTTTCATGCCGAAAATATTTATCATTTGTTACTACAACAGGTTTGTAGTTTTGCATAGAATTTTGTTAAAAAATATTTTAGAATAAATAAAATTGAATGAAAAATGTCAAAATGAATGGATAACACACAAAAATTTAGATAATACTGCTTATAACATAATGGACAATAATATTTCATATCATTATCTGGTTGTAGCATTATCATAATACTTGCAGTATTATCAAAATATTTGCACTATTATCACAATACTTATAGTATTATCACAATAACTAACAGTATCATATCAACACTTGCAGTATTATTACAGTAACTTACAATATCATATCAACACTTGCAGTATTATTACAGTAACTTACAATATCATATCAATACTTGCAATATTATCACAGCAACTTACCTTGCGATCACAGTAACTATTATCACAGTAACTTAACTTGCAGTATTATTTATAGCACTTATTTACAGCCATGGTCAATGATAATGTTAATATTAAACATGTTATACATCATTTTACTACCAATCTGTGGTATTTTATTCTTTTGTGATTCATGCGTTTGTGTTACTGCTGATTCATTATCATCTTCTGAAATTTTAGAAATTACCGAAGAGGTTCGTTTTCCTTTAACATTAATATGGTAAAATCTTTAGGTATGTGTTAGTTTCAACATAAATGATAAGATAAAAGTTGAATTTAATGCAAAAATTTTATAAAATTTGAACTAAAGAATGAATCATTTGGATAATGTTAGTTAAGAAATTAATTCTAACATTTTAAATATTAAATGTTAAAATTGATAATGTGTTAGAACAATATTTTCCCCTTAACTTTTCCTACTTTTAATTAAATGAAAATAAACAATAAGAACAAAGATTGTTTCAATTTTTTTTTTTTTTTTTAAACAAAACAATGAAATAACTTTTATAGCATTTTTTTTTATATTTTTTCCTTTTTTAAGAATAAAATATCAAAATATCTATTTGCATTGAGTCTAATAATGATGATTATAACAGTCACAGTGATTTTAATACTAATGATTGCGTATCTTGAAAGTGTCCGGCATACTGTAACCGGATCAAATGGAATTAGCCAATCAATGAGTAGTATTTATACAGGTTCTTTTTGAAAATTAATATTTGATAGGTTAAAAATCGATCAGATCACGCTTTCTCATATTTTTCATTTGCAACAAAATATTTAAATATTTTACTTTTCATAGAAATCCAATTAGATTCTTTTTATTTTGTGAAGAAGTTAAATAACTCTTAGAACAAAGATTTTCAACATTGTAAGATTGAATTGGTTAGAAGAATTTTTGTTAATTTACAAGGAATCATAGCTATGTTAACTTGATAAACATGCTAAATGTTATTTTTCAACAGTTCAAATATCATCGAAACTTTCATATACCGTATCATCACTTTCAGCCTAATCAGTATATCCAGGAATAACCGGATAGATTGCATTTACATTATTTCTTCCTTTAGTACAATTTGTTTAGCAAGAATAATCAATTTTGGAGAATATTTATAAATGATAATCATTAAAATATCCATTTTAGCTCCATCTTCCCATCCATTTTAATTGAAATAAATTACGATAGTTGACATTTTTCAGCCTATTATATGGTTACTTAATCAAATTAGAAATTAAAATTAAAACTTTTGAATTTAAAGTTAACTAGTTTAACACTTACTGATAAGTAATATTGGCTTATAAATACCACTACAGATATCAATCTACTTACTAATGCTACATCCACTGATGTAACTTGTAAATTGAACAAAACATTACAAAAATTGTGTATTGGAATCAATAATACCATTCAAGAATTGCCGAATAGAATTATTCAAACGCTTAAACAAGACTATCCTATTACATCGTTATCAGTGGTATCATTTAGATTTTAAATTTTTGTTTTTTTAACTACTGAATTCTTGAAAACATGCATCATTATCATGTAACTATCATATCATTTCAAATTTATTCTAAAGAGATACCAAAATCTTTGATTTGTAGAAATTAGACAGTTCAAAGATTAGAAAGATAACTTGATTTATGGATTAGAATTAATCTTGATGATCTTATCTATGTGATAAATTATTAACCTATTGAATCATATATTGCATCGAATGATTAAATAATTTAATATCAATTTAATTTAATAAAAATCTTGATATTTATTCGAATTTCAAGTTTCATCCGAAAATATCTATGTGACTTTGATACAGCTAATCCGTCTAAAAAATAATTTCTTTTTTTATCTTCCTCATTTAAAAATATTATAGTCATATCTGTATTAGATCAAAATTGCAATTATATTAGCTGGCAAAAATGGATAATAAAATTTTTTAAAAACATCAAAGTTACGGAAAATGAATTGTTTTTGAGGTGATTGAAAGATTTGAGATTAAAAATGTCATCGATTTCATTGATAATATCATATTAACAATTACATCAACGAAAATACTGGCAAGTAATTTACCGAAAACTTTGTATCAACAATCATCTATGCAAAATATAATCGATACACTACAAAGAATTGAAAATCGTGTGACAGCATTATTACAGGTATGACAGCTTTACCCTACTATTGGAGAACTCCAATTGTGAACAATTTTAGTTTAAAAATTTAGAAATTTTTGAATTCTTTAAAATTCAAGAGATATTTTGACGGTAAAAAAGTCGTAATTTTGTGTCATTTTTGCAATGCAAAAGATGTGTGCTTTTTGGTAAACAATTATTTCATCTTTTTTTAACTTTTCGAAATTCATTTTGTATTTTTTTCTTTTTTGAAATTCACAGCTCAAATTTGGAAAAAATACCTGAACTGTAATGTTAATTTAAAAAAATTTAAGCAATACAATGATACACTCAAAGCAACAAACAATACCCGAAATAATGTTGAATTTTATTTGGACAATATCATCGAGACGGTCGTTTATTTTTATGCTAATTTTAATTTTATATTTAAATTTAAGAAGTGAGTGGGAATTGTAGTTTCCCAGGCATTTTTTGGCAATTGAATTCTAAAATAGTTTTTTTAATAGCTTTTTTTAAAATAGTTTTTTAATAGTTCTGGAACTTTCAAACTTTTTAATAGCTTCTGAACTTTTAAAAAATTCTTTTTGGGAATTATTCCAATAAAGTTATCTTTTTATCAAAACTTTTAGGTCAATTTAACATTGAAACAAACAAACAGTTTTATCGAAGATACATCGAAAAAAAGAAATTTAATTATTACACGGACTAATCAAACAATTTTGAATTTGCATTTGATTATGGAAGAATTATTTCAAAAAATCAATTACATAGTAAAAACAACTTTAAAGGTATTTCATTTCTTTCTGACAAGTCATTATGTGTTATGTATAGGTCAAATTGATAACCTTTATAATAATTACAATATATATAAGTCATTATTATTATTATTGTTATAATCTATTACTATTATTTATTATTATTATCATTATCGTTGCTATTATTATTATTACTGTTATTATTATTATTATTATTACTATTATTATTATTATTATTATTATTATTATTATTATTATTATTATTATTATTATTATTATTATTATTATC